CCGGGCCTGCCTGCAGGGCGGGGGAAGGCCAGGCGGAGGGCGCGTCCAGCCAGTGGGGTCACTGCCCGCTCACGGCTCAGTTTATTTAGATTTTGACTTTGACTTTGGCTTCTTTTATGCCCTAGGGCTTATTTGTACTTACTTTTATGTCTTTATTTCTCTATAGAAATAGAAAATGTATATAATTTCTGTGTAATATTTAGCTTATAAATAAAAGAAGAAAGCAAGCCAGGTGCTTCCACCTGCCGTTGGGGAATCTGAGCTCCTGGTTGCTGGTCACCCAGGTTTACTTCAGGAGACAGGGACCTCATTCTTTGCTGCTTTACCTTTTGACTTCTGAGTGTCCCACAACAGAAGGAAAATTGTAAAATTTGTGGAGAAGCATAGCATCTGTGTCCTTTTCTTTCGTTCATGTGGTTGTCAAATGGCTACTAGCGCGTGGCTTTGGGGTCCCTCCCAGGTAGATGTCTGTTGGCGTCCTGGGTATCGAGCGGCAGACAGGCAGGCTGGTTCGTTCATCCACTCACTGGTACGTTTGCGCGTCTGAGCGCCAGCTGCCCGCACACGCGTCTGGCTGGGAGGTAGAGGCAGATCAGGAAGCACAGGTGAGCTCTCATCCTCCGCGAAGTTAAGGTCCACTCCGTTAACCTGGAACCATCACACAGAAACGTGAACTTGTGTCTCGCCCAAGGGTGGAGAAGCACATGCCGGACCAGGCCGCTTTCTGGTGGTCCTTCCTAGCAGTCTGGGGGAGTCCTCCCTCCTGCCCGCCTCGAGCTTGTGTGGCTTGCAGGGCAGGGCAGTGCGGTCTCCACAAGGAGGTGCCTTCAAATAAGATTCACCTTTAGAGAATTAACAGACTCCGGTTTCCACTTGACCTGGGCAGCAGACTCTGACCTGGGGCGCGGTCACCATCTGTTTGTCTGGGTCCCCAGCAGAGCCCCGGGGGCGGTGGCAGGCTGGATGTGGGATGGGGCACTTTGGGCCTCAGGCGCCCTCGTTGGAGACCCACGCACAGCCGCGGTCTCGGTCCCGTCAGATTCTGGGCGGTGCTGCTTGCGGTGTCTGGGAGACGAACTACACACAGGCTTTTGTATTTTCAAAGATAAAATGGTGATTACTGATTCAACATTAAATTTTCTGAAAGTCCCTGGTCGTTTGTCCTCTTACGCCCTGGATACGGAAAAGGATTACAGAAAATAAAGTTGATTCTTGTGGACATTGTTTCTCTGGTGCTGCGATTTTTTTTTTAAGACAAATTTCTTCCACTTTCTGTAAAGGAACAACTTTCTGAGTGGCAGAAGCTTTTCCGAGAAGCATGTGTCTGTCGTAGTCTGGTCTCTAGGAAGGTCAAGAAGGGTAGTGTTGCTGATGGCATTCTGCATCCCACGTGACAGTGACCTGAAATAGCTATAACTTAGCGACAAAACTAAGTTCTTCCCAAGACCCAGGCCGCGTTGAAGGTGGTAGAAAGCCACCAGGAGCCTTGCAGCCCTGCAGACGCCTGCCTGGGAGAGGGAAAGTGGACTGTGCCCGTGGTTTCATGCTGACGCTCTCAGGATTTTCGTTCCCTGCAGTTAGATTTTTAGAGACTGTAAATTTTAGTCTCTTTTCAAATGCTTTAGAATTTCTCACCGGACTGAGCACCTGTGTCGTGGCTTGTTTGCTGCAGGTGACGGTGCTGTACAGTGGACACAGGGTGAACACAGTGATTTGTGTCGCAGTGTCTCATTCAACCTTAGGATGAGACACTATCAGTTGTTTATTTTGACATTTTGTGGAATAGAGCCAATAGACCCTAGGTTTTGTTGGGCATA